AGTTTGCCTAAATTGAAATCTGGCACTAACTCCCAAACCGGGAACCCGATTCGAGCTCCGTCTTCTCCCACAAGTCTCTCGTGCCTAGGCGGTTGTGTGTGCCAAGTTTCGTGCTAAACCGATGCCGTTTGGTGATTTTGGGGCGTTAACACCTCGAATTCAAGTTTCTTAAGGAACTAGTTTGCCTAAAGTGAAATCCGGTTCTAACTCCCAAACCGGGAACCCGATTCGAGCCCCGTCTTCTCCCACAAGTCTCTCGTGCCTAGGCGGTCGTGTGTGCCAAGTTTCGTGCTAAATTGACGCCTTTGGTGATTTTGGGGCGTTAACTCCCCGAATTCAAGTTTCTTAAGGAACTAGTTCGCCCAAAGTGAAATCCGGCTCTAACTCCCAAACCGGGAACCCGATTCGAGCCCCGTCTTCTCCCACAAGTGTCTCATGTCTAGGCGGTCGTGTGTGCCAAGTTTCGTGCTAAACCGACGTCGTTTGGTGATTTTGGGGCGTTAACACCTCGAATTCAAGTTTCTTAAGGAACTAGTTTGCCGAAAGTAAAATCCGGCTCTAACTCCCAAACCGGGAACCCGATTCGAGCCCCGTCTTCTCCCACAAGTCTCTCGTACCTAGGCGGTCGTGTGTGCCAAGTTTCCTACTAAACCAACGCTGTTTGGTGATTTTGAGGCGTTAACACATCGAATTCAAGTTTCTTAAGGAACTAGTTTGCCTAAAGTGAAATCCGGCACTAACTCCCAAACCGGGAACCCGATTCGAGCCCCGTCTTCTCCCACAAGTCTCTCATGCCTAGTCGGTCGTGTGTGCCATGTTTCGTGCTAAACCGACGTCGTTTGGTGATTTTGGGACGTTAACACCTCGAATTCAAGTTTCTTAAGGAACTAGTTTGCCTAAAGTGAAATCCGGCTCTCACTTCCAAACCGGGAACCCGATTCGAGCCCCGTCCTCACCCACAAGTCTCTCATGCCTAGGCGGTCGTGTGTGCCAAGTTTCGTGCTAGACCGACGCCGTTTGGTGATTTTGGGGCGTTAACTCCTCGAACTCAAGTTTCTTAAGGAACTAGTTTGCCCAAAGTGAAATCCGGCTCTAACTCCCAAACCGGGAACCCGATTCGAGCCCCGTCTTCTCCCACAAGTTTCGTGCTAAACCGACGCCGTTTGGTGACTTTGGGGCGTTAACACCTCGAATTCAAGTTTCTTAAGGAACTAGTTTGCCTAAAGTGAAATCCGGCTCTAACTCCCAAACCGGGAACCCGATTCGAGCCTCGTATTCTCCCACAAGTCTCTCGTGCCTAGGCGGTCTTGTGTGCGAAGTTTCGTGCTAAACCGACGTCGTTTGGTGATTTTGGGGCGTTAACACCTCGAATTCAAGTTTCTTAAGGAACTAGTTTGCCCAAAGTGAAATCCGGCTCTAACTCCCAAACCGGGAACCCGATTTGAGCCCCGTCTTCTCCCACAAGTCTCTCGTGCCTAGGCGGTCGTGTGTGCCAAGTTTCGTGATAAACCGACGCCGTTTGGTTATTTTGTGGCGTTAACACCTTGAATTCAAGTTTCTTAAGGAACTAGTTTGCCCAAAGTGAAATCTGGCTCTAACTCCCAAACTAGGAACCCGATTCGAGCCCCGTCTTCTCCCACAAGTTTCTCGTGCCTAGGCAGTCGTGTGTGCCAAGTTTCGTGCTAAGCCGACCCCGTTTGGTGATTTTGGGGCGTTAACACCTCGAATTCAAGTTTCTTAAGGAACTAGTTTGCCCAAAGTGAAATCCGGCTCTAACTCCCAAACCGAGAACCCGATTCGAGCCCCGTCTTCTCCCACAAGTCTCTCTTTAACTTAGAATGTCTATATTATGCAAAGATACATTTTAGCTTAGAATGCAAAGATACATTTTATACCTGATCTTCTGGTGGTGGTGTATATGGATTCTCGTCTTCTACAGATTCACTAAATGCCCGGTGGCCACTCGATGCATCAGGAACCTGTGATAGTCAATACATAATGTGTTAATCATATTCGAATTTTATATATAATCTTGTGTGAAAATTAAACTATCAAACAATTTAATTTATATCGAACCTGTCTGTTGGGATCCACACTCCCCCCCTGTGACACTAAGGCCATCATCTCAGCTCTCATCTGCTGTAAATGTGTAGAGAACTCTGCTCGCAGCTCCTCCCTCAACTCATCCCTTAGCTCTGCACGAACCTTCTGCGTGATCCGATCAATAGTCGATGGCTGGGGTGTTGACTGTGATGGCCCAGCACCATCTTTATACACCGCTCTCCGAGGCATAATTCTCCCGTATGTGTGACAATATCCATGTCCGTCATGACCTATCAACTCATGGAAAATGGCATTCCTAGCCTCCAAAGTTCGACCATTCTCAAGTAGCATAGAGAGTTGACGATTAAACTCATCCTGTATTGAATAAGACATACAAATATATGCCAAATTAAGATGGTTGACACACAAAAAATAAACTTTAAATACAATCAAAGGTGTTTGGAAACTACCATGGTCTGGATAACCTCTGGGTCATCTACTCTACGTGTCATAAGCCAAACATTCATCTTATCAGTAAACTCCCCCTTACTGGTCATCTGCATTTTTTTAGAAATATGAAAATTAGAATCTAAATAATTTGTAAATATACAATGTTTATTTATATACAAAAATAAAACAATAAAATGTAAACCTCATGCCGTATCTGAGAGAAAGTAGTACGCCCTGTGGTATAAGCTATGCCGTGAGCTCGCCGATTTTTAGCGTTCCTACTTGCAATTTTCTATAACAGGTTCGACAAATGTGAGTATGTAAATATGATTTGTATGTTTACATATCATAAATATAACTTATTTGTATACCTTAGCATCGGAAGTACGCCAATACTCCACAAGTTCTTCCCACTGGATAGGAACATCATTCTTTAGATTAGGATCAGAACTTCTAGGCTTGAAATACTTAGCCTTAAGCTTGTTCTTGTGATCTTTCCATATGCTGTTGCAGTTTTTCATGCAGATTGGCTTGTACTCCTCTGGACATATATTCAAATTGTCTTGTAAAACACAATTTCAAAGTTTAAATAATAATAACACAATTTTGGAATTCGAATTTGTGGACAAAAATATACTTTTACCTTCACATCCTTCCAGATAGCATCAATAATATCATCAGGCACATTGTTCCAGTCAAGAAAAGTAAGAGGAACAATGTTACCATTCCGCACAATAATGCCAAGTTGAGTAGTTAACTTAGCCACGTTGTCCCCTATTGGGTAGTAATTTCCATCAAATTGTATGTCTAGCTTTTTACCAGTAGCCCACTCTTTAATGCCCTTGGCACATCCTCTACCACGCCTAGTCGAGGTTGATGAAGAACTAACATGACCTGCGAGATACAATAACAATAAACAATATGCAATGGTAATAAACAAATGCAAATTTAAATAATGTGAATACAAATCATATCAAATAAACCTGAGGTGGGCTGTGAAGAAGTCGAAGGGTCTGCAAAATACAATGAGAATAAACAAGTTATATATAATGACCATAAATAAATGTATGTTTAAATAATTTTCATACAAATCAAAGCAAATTTATATACCTGTGGATGGCTCATAAGCTGATGATGATAGCTGCTGTGGTGCCACTGATGGTGGACGCACCGATGGTAGGCGTGGAGGCTGAGTACATGGTAGCTGCTGTGGTGCCACTAAAGGCCCCTCTAATAGTGGCCGATGTGATGCCTCCTCTGATGGTGGTGCTACTGATGTCCTGTTATGTAGCACAGCAGACATCATGGGCCGGGGATGATCAGGCTTCCTCTTCTTTCCCATAATAATCTGCAAGCAATAAAATTACAAAGACATTAATTGAACTAACACAATTACAAAGACAAAGTAAATTAAGAAATTGATGATTAACTACAACCTTGGCCTTAATTGAATTACTAATGTTTCCACCACTATCAGCCTATTTGAACATCAACTGTTTCCCCTTCTGCGGCTTCCCTCACCCAACCAACTTCTTCATCACGAAGCATTATATTTTCTTCCAATTGTTGGCTCATGTATGGCTCGATTTGTGGATCAGTCAAACTCATATCAAATAAACCTCTTTGAGACATCTTCACTACGACTTGCCAGTCTGGTTGTAACAGGTCTGCAACATACCAAACTTGCTCTGCTTGGGACGCCAAGATGGAAGGTTCATTGGTAATTCGATCATCTCGGTACAACAAATGATTGAAGTTCACCAACGTGAAATTGAAGACATCTTCTTTCTTTCCGTGAATGTTGTCAATCCAATCACACTTAAACAACACATGTTTCTTCTCATTGGAATATCAAATCTCAACAATATATGTCAATTGTCCATAATAGTACATAGACCCCACACGAGGATTCTTGTCTTTTTGACTAGCATAACTAATGGTATCTGCCTTCAAAGCTACACCACAATTTTGTGTGGCTCGACGATCATCCATGGCCTTTACTCGATACCGAAACCCATTCAGTATATACCCGTTGAACCTCCTGGTGGACTTGTAAGATGTGCATTTGGCTCGGTGCCTTGAACCTAAAAGGCCAAGACATGAGATTTGATTATATATTCTGTTATAAACAAAATGACAGATACACACAATGAAGACTCAGCCTTGCCAAACCGTTCAAAATAGGTCTTCATTTGATTGAAAGAAGAGCAATTGCTGAGGAATTGCTAGATATGTTTCCGCATTTCCATCAAAAACATTATACATTTCCATCCCAGGGACTGCCACCACTGTGAAACAGATTTGATATGGTGTAAGCAAACACAAAACTCCAATATATAACAACTAAGAATTTTTAAAATTAACATCAAAGAAAATGTAGACAAGATGATTTTCATTTTCATTACAACAAACAAAATGCAAGAGGAACCTCAATTTCAAATGTAAGGATATAAATCAAAGAAAACCTCATATTCACATCCAAAGAATTGCCTAAAATAGCTTCATATCTACAACACCAACACACAAAAGTTAGAAAACAAACTTGGTAAAATGATGCCAAAAGGCAATAAAAGACCATGATTGTAAAAACTTGCTACTTTTGGCCAAGGGGGTGCCAAGGAGCGTGTCTGATTTGAAGCAAGCTTTGGGGCAGTCTGTAAAGTTGCAGATGCTGGAGACAGATTATTGTGACCTGGCCCATCAGTTCTATGTGCAGTAAATACACCAGTATCTAAGAAGGGTTCAGTTGTACTACTTGAGATCATCTCTGGCCCAGATTGGATGACCATGGGGAACCCAGAAGGCGAAGACAAAGGGTTTTCATAAGATGGGATGGCATAATACTGTTGCGTCCCTACAAATGGGCCATCAACTCCTAACATAGCATCAGGAATGTAAGGGTTGTATGGGTTATATGGAGACTGTGCATAGCCATAGCTAGGTGTATAATATACATAAGGCAAACTTTCAGTTTGTGCACCCTGAAGAAGAAGAAAAAAAAATCCATTAAGCAAAACTACAAACAATATGGAACTTGTGTTTGAAAAACAAAAAGCAAGAGATGATACAAACCGTGTACTGAACTTCTTGACCATCCAGACCAAAAATCCTATGGTGGTCATCCCAATCGCTGGGTGATTCAAATCCTGATCATATCGAGTCAATGTAACACATAAATGAGACAATACAAATTAGCATCCTAATCTAAAATAGGATAGTGGATAAAAATTTACCTGTACAGATGTACCCATAATTGGTGGCAGTAGGGTAATACAAGCCTTGTTCAACTACAAACTCCGGGGCTCCTTCGTTGTACATGGCGTCAAGTTGTTTAACAGGTGGACTTGTAAGATGTGCATTTGGCTCGGTGCCTTGAACCTAAAAGGCCAAGACATGAGATTTGATTATATATTCTGTTATAAACAAAATGACAAATACACACAATGAAGACTCAGCCTTGCCAAACCGTTCAAAATAGGTCTTCATTTGATTGAAAGAAGAGCAATTGCTGAGGAATTGCTAGATATGTTTCCGCATTTCCATCAAAAACATTATACATTTCCATCCCAGGGACTGCCACCACTGTGAAACAGATTTGATATGGTGTGAGCAAACACAGAACTCCAATATATAACAACTAAGAATTTTTAAAATTAACATCAAAGAAAATGTAGACAAGATGATTTTCATTTTCATTACAACAAACAAAATGCAAGAGGAACCTCAATTTCAAATGTAAGGATATAAATCAAAGAAAACCTCATATTCACATCCAAAGAATTGCCTAAAATAGCTTCATATCTACAACACCAACACACAAAAGTTAGAAAACAAACTTGGTAAAATGATGCCAAAAGGCAATAAAAGACCATGATTGTAAAAACTTGCTACTTTTGGCCAAGGGGGTGCCAAGGAGCGTGTCTGATTTGAAGCAAGCTTTGGGGCAGTCTGTAAAGTTGCAGATGCTGGAGACAGATTATTGTGACCTGGCCCATCAGTTCTATGTGCAGTAAATACACCAGTATCTAAGAAGGGTTCAGTTGTACTACTTGAGACCATCACTGGCCCAGATTAGATGACCATGGGGAACCCAGAAGGCGAAGACAAAGGGTTTTCATAAGATGGGATGGCATAATACTGTTGCGTCCCTACAAATGGGCCATCAACTCCTAACATAGCACCAGGAATGTAAGGGTTGTATGGGTTATATGGAGACTGTGCATATCCATAGCTAGGTGTATAATATACATAAGGCAAACTTTCAGTTTGTGCACCCTGAAGAAGAAGAAGAAAAAAAATCCATTAAGCAAAACTACAAACAATATGGAACTTGTGTTTGAAAAACAAAAAGCAAGAGATGATACAAACTGTGTACTGAACTTCTTGACCATCCAGACCAAAAATCCTATGGTGGTCATCCCAATCGCTGGGTGATTCAAATCCTGATCATATCGAGTCAATGTAACACATAAATGAGACAATACAAATTAGCATCCTAATCTAAAATAGGATAGTGGATAAAAATTTACCTGTACAGATGTACCCATAATTGGTGGCAGTAGGGTAATACAAGCCTTGTTCAACTACAAACTCTGGGGCTCCTTCCTTATACATGGCGTCAAGTTGTTCAACAGGTGGACTTGTTAGGTGTGAGTTTGGCTCGGTGCCTTGAATCTAAAAGGCCAAGACATGAGATTTGATTATATATTCTGTTATAAACAAAATGACAGATACACATAATGAAGACTCAGCCTTGCCAAACCGTTCAAAATAGGTCTTCATTTGATCGAAAGAAGAGCAATTGCTGAGGAATTACCAGATATGTTTCTGCATTTCCATCAAAAACATTATACATTTCCATCCCAGGGACTGCCACCGCTGTGAAACAGATTTGATATGGCGTAAGCAAACACAGGACTCCAATATATAACAACTAAGAATTTTTAAAATTAACATCAAAGAAAATGTAGACAGGCTGATTTTCATTTTCATTCCCCTTAATGTCATGGGCATAGATGAAAAATCAAAGAAAACCTCATACTAACATCAAAGAAACTTCATATCTACAACGCCAACACCATACTAAGTAGATAAACAAATGTACACAATAAATAAGCATTGAATATCAACCAATAGAAAGAGAAGACAACCAAAAAAAAACAGAAAAAAAGAAGGTCCACCAACACAAACATACATGAATTCCCAAATGTGAATTTTTAAAAATGCTATAGAAAATAAGCAATTTTAAAGGGCATTCCTTTCACCTTCATCCTTTACCATAACTAAATGGAACCCCATATATAAATTACCATTCAATACAGGTGCAAATGTTAGCTAAACTCAACAATCAGACCTTCCAGAAGATTAGGGCACGCACACAAATTTCAGAAAGCCTAAGATTCAATCGGTGAAAGGTAAACAAAGACAAGTTGAAAAGTTTGGAGCATCATCCCATTCTAATTCACACCATAATGACCATTCCAATAAAGCACAACCCTCAAAATTAAATTTCATTGCCAAGCAAGAACCTATATCGGCGCCTTCGTGGTCATAGAACTAAATGCAGCTCCCCAAAGTACAATTACAGAAACAAAACCGCACAAAACCCTAAAACTCCCCGAACCACTAAACAAACTGTTCGAGCAATAAGAAGCCAGCAGTCTCTTAACAATAAATAAGAGTAATTCATATCCTTGTAAAACTCCACAAACGTCATGTGACTATACAGACAAACACAAACCCAACAAAACATGGAAGATTCAAGTAAAATAGTGTGCCTCAATGAAATATGAGACGTGCGTGTGTGCGTATATATGTGGTGTGTGCGCGGATGGAATGAAATGAGGATTACCTTACAGAGTTGATTCAAGACATGTTTGAGACCTAGAAAGTCCTCTAAAATTATCCAAATTTATAATCTAAGCACAACCTAAAAAATTAAAATGAAAAAATAATGAAACTTTTTGGGGATACATACATATATACGCAAATAATTTATATTCATGTATATTTTTTTTTATTTTTTTTGAACAGCTAATACATACATATATATATATATATATATATATACAGAGAGAGAGAGAGAGAGCATACCTGAGTAGCTGTCGTCGTCGAAGCACCACCGCTAGCCCTTCGCCGTTCGTCATCGCCGCACCACCGCTAGCCGTTTGCCGTTCGTCGCCCGTCGCCCGTCGCCCGTCGCTCGTTTGGGGATTTTGGGAGAAAATTGAGCGGCAAGATGAAAGGATTTCGATCGGACAATTTTAGGGATTTTAGGGATTTCGTGCTTCAAAATAATTTTAGGGATTTCGATCGAACTGAGCGGCAAGATGAAAGGGAAGATGGGGGGAAAATTGTTTTTTACTTTTTGCGACGGGAAGGTTTACACCGTCGCAAATGATACAAAATGATTAATAAATGACGCCATTTTAATAATTCTTTTTTTGCAACGGACATTTGCCGTCGCAAATGGTTGAGTATTTGCGACAGCAAACTTTTGCCGTCTCAAACATTTTTTTTTCCCGACGGTTCAACACTTGCCGTCGCTAATAGTTCCTCATTTTAATACCCGCCCGTGCAGTTTATTACCGACGGTTAAACGCCGTCGCTAAAACTTTTTTTTGCGACGGTTTATTTTGCTGTCGCAAAAGACCCTTTTTTGCGACGGGGATCGCGCCGTCGCGAATACTTCCGTGTTTTTTGCCCTCTTTTCTTGTAGTGATTGTCTATTCCACGAACCCGAAAACGATGTCAATTTTCCATTCACTCATAAATGGATTTGACGAACTATCTTTACCGTGTGACTTACCATGCAGTAAAGAACATGTCACCTCTTCGGACCCACCTAAAAGACGTGTGGAACCCACTCAATTTTGGGCTCAAAGTTAACCCAAAATAAGCCTATAAAAACCAAATTTCCAACACTTTGAATGTGGAGACAAACTAGAGATATGAAATTCATTTAAAAAAATTAAAATCATTTAGCATTTTCAAATATCATACCAAACAAATCTATTCAAAAATCAAATAAAATTTCATTACTGTTGGCTTTTTTGGCTTTCGAAGGTTAATAATATAATTTTAAGCATGCCAGTAAGAATCAATTAGTCCTTACAGAATATTAATTGCCAACCAATTATCAGACGATTGTATTTTAGTTCTCTCAACCTCAATGAAGAGGACTTTTATTGATGGCTTGTTTAAAAGAATTTAGTAAATAACAACAAGTGAAGAATAATTTCAGAATCTGAATTTCGTTAAGTAAATGAAAACTTACAATGATCTGACCCAGCCTCGTAGAGGTTTACAACAACAAGCTATTTGAAACTACTCCTAGGAAATGAAGTGCAGTATAGGAATTGAAGTGCAGAAATGAAAAGGACTTGTAAAAACTGGAAGGAAAAAATGAAGTAAATAAACTGGTTTTTTGATATAAGTCTGGATTCTTCATTCTGGGGCCTTCTCTGCTATTTATACTTTTCAATGATAACCGTCGAAGTGGGCTTTCAACTGTCGAAATGTCCTTCCATGATTGCTGAGCATGCTCTCTCTCAGTCAATCCCACTACGCCACTCTTGCAGTTAGGTTTCCCTCCTGATTTTGAATTTAAACTTTGTGAGTAACCATTAGGCCACATCACTTTATATCCCTCGATTATTCCAGTGCTACGTAGATCCATTATTACCAATACGAACTACCACGTGTCTGACTTTGATTAGCAACTTGTATTAACTCCCTAAATTGCCCTCTTCGCGCCACGTGTTAAATTGTGATTGGTTTTTACAAATTATACAGTCAACATTACCCTCCGCACTAATATACCAAATACTTGTTGATATTAGTGAACTAGTGCAATCCACCCACATTCTAAGATGTGCATGGACTCTGTGTATTCTGGTAGCATAACAGCCTTTTGAATAATGAAGCAGTGAACTTCATTAAATCCTTGTATCTTGCACTTTCATTCTTTGAGTAGATGAAAAGACTAGTACATCCCCAATGGCCAATTACACTTTCTCCTACATTGATCGAGCATACGAGGATAACTTACTTGTGGTGTGGTACACATCTTCCATGCCCACGAAGATAGTGCAAGCAACTCCTCGTCCAGAGGAAGCACACGGATACAATTCGTCATTCTTGGCCAAGAAGGCAAAATTTCTCTCTTCTGACTGGCTTGAATGCGTTAATAAATCTCAGTTCCCCTCTTCCTTTAGAATGGACCCTCCTATGCCTCCTCTTCCTCAGAATCCTCACTGGATGGAGGAATTGAAACTTACTCTCTTCGAAAATCAGTTTCTTCCTTCCTACCAACCTCCAGATCTTCCCACTACATTTGAGCGATACCAAGCTTAAGTTCTGCTTGCAGTCTTTTCTCACTTGCCTTTCAGTGTTCTTGGAGATGAGACTCCTCTCAAGAACTTCCGATGGGCCTGTAACATTATGAGTCGGGGTCATGTCCTCAACCCTATTGCTCAAGCAGAGCTTCAAACTTTTTTGGATCAACTCTCGCTTCTTCTTTATTGGTACCAAATTTCTTTGGCTACCACTAATTCTTTGGACAAAATCTTGGCCAACCGAATTC